TGTAACCATCACAATCGACCTTGCATTATATTGTATCGACAATGAACAAATTTTCCAATTTCGGAAATTTTAGGAAAGGCGTGCTCGTATTTTATTTTCAATGATTTTCTGTTCGGAAATATTCGGGTTTACGGCCAATCACCGTAACCATACCTTCCTTCCATAAATTGGCCGCTGGTATCACGTGACTCCGGTTCTAGGCTACATGCACCATATAACATATACGTATAATAAGATGTCAATAGGTTATATAGGTTATACTACTTGCAGTGGTGTTGCAATAGTAGTATAGTCAGAAATACAAAAGAAGTTATGTAGGATTTAAAGCGTATGACATACATATATGTACGTATAATAATATATTAGTCGATTATAATATCTACAAATAATTAAAGTAAGTCTAAAGAGTCTGATCAACTATTATACGCGTGAGTATAATAAACACTTATCATACGTTACTAAATTTAGAGTTTGGAATCGATGAGTATCTAGCATTAATTGGTCACAAACTTTAGATTTTCGAGCATCGGTAATCGATTTTCGAATGTTCATCGAGTTTTTAAAAATATTTAGGCCTGACTGTATTATAACATTAAATTTAGGAAATTGATATTTCCACACCCTTTTTTGATATTGCCACACCCCTGTTAATAAAAATCAATATAAATTATTAGGGTTTGGTTAGGGTTTAGAGTTAGCAGGGGTGTGGCAATATCAAAAAAGGGTGTGGAAATATCAATTCCCTAAATTTATTAAATTTATCAATTGTACCAATTTACGTGACTTAATAATTCGTAAACTTACATCATAAAAACACCATAATTAATCATAAATATCAAGAATACACGTAATAAAATTGATTATTTTTATCTTACATTTTAGAAATACCACTTCTTCAAATAACTTTAGATTAATAATGTTCGCACTCATAACATTTCCTGCATCCGAAAACAAGCGTTCACTTGGTATGCTTGTTACAGGGATTGCAAGAAATTTATAGGTAATATGAATAAGTCACACGTTTTTTAGAGCTGTCTTCTCTATATTGGATTTTGAAACTTTACAAACCAAAATATTAATGCAATTAGATTTACCCTCTTCGTTATTAAGAGAGAACTCTACGGGAACATCAATAGAAGACGTAATATCTTTATTCAATATTAAATCAAATTCCATGTTTAATAATGTCAATTGGAAAAATCTATTAAACAGAATTTATTATTATGAAACTGTTATTTAATAATCAATTAACAAATTATCGCTACTAAACAGTTAAATTTAATTTTGACTGATGCTCGATGATTGAATGAAGTTTATTTCGATGATCGGAATTTTCGAAATTTTCGAATACGTAATTATTTATCGATTCCACACTCTAACTAAATTTATTAACTTGACTATACTACTTTACGTAGGACTCACCTGCAGATAGTTAAGGTTAGGATTAGGAATATACTTCATGTTAGCATGTTAGGATTAGGAATAATTCAAATGTTAGTCTAAAGAGTCTGTGATCAATTGTCATACGCATGAGTTATTTTTAAAATTTTAAACTACAACTAAACGATAAATACAGTAAATACAGTACTTGGTGGCTTTGAGTATGGAAAAACGACGTAAAAAAAAGGATTTGCCATTTAGTACTGTATAAATTATCCAAAATAATAGTGGAATCGCGTTACTATTCTATTTTAAACACGAATTCCTTTAAAAAGAACCAGATGCTGTATGCAGTGCTAACGGTAGTAGTATGATGAAATCCGAGGATCTCTTCCGAAAAAAGGCAATGAAAATTTTTAATAAGCGTTCATTAGGTAAGCATGTAGAACATATGTGTGTGTACTCACGTATCTTAGTCAGCACTGAGATAAAATTTTCTCATTTGCTATCATTTTTTCATACAAAGGTTTCCTAAATTTACAGTTGGCGGTGTCGCATTATCGTTATCAACTAAATGTGAGCACATAATATGAAAACCCTAGAATGAGATTATCACTATTTTTAATAGAACGATTCAAAATTGTTTACGTATTACGGACCAAAAATTCCATTAGCGTATCACAATATTCTTTTTAATAAAATTCAAGCACTTTGAGGATAATCATCTGCACACTAAACTTAAACTCATCATCCACTTTGTAGATCTATCTATATATTAAACTGTATAAGCCAAAGAGACCTACTCTACAAAGAGAGTTCGCAACATTAAATTTCACACAGCAATACTTTTAAGGCTAGCATTAAGATTAATGCGAATTTATTTAGCAAATTTGGAATTAACCTTAAAGTTGTTATAGATTGTATTGATATGGATATGGCATTTCAAGTAAATTTAAATTACCTAATGCTAAGCCAGTTTCACGTTTATTTACAGAATATACCGTGAAAGATATTTTTGAGTTTTATCATACATATGTAGTTGAATTAATGAATTTATAGAATAGTCTATAATCTACCCTTACTTATCTCACTTATGTGAGAATTCACTAATTGAGGTAATTGTTTAAATTATGATTCACAACATAGATAAAGACAGGATAGATATGTATATACGTATTAATCTATGCATTATTGTATTAGCATGAAAGAAAGCATTCAGAATAATGTTTAAAATAAAATTTTATATTTTATATTTTATTTAACAAAAAATTACAAAAATAGCAAACACGAAACAGTGTAATGTTCATAAAGAATTTTGGGACAATACTAAAAGAGAAACTTACTATAAAACTATAAAACTAAAATTTGGTGTTACTAAAATCTTAGATTGGTTAAACGATTACAACGATTATAATCTACGAATATTCAAATTATGGCGATATTCGAAGAACTGAAATCTTTTTTGATTTTTTTTTTTTTAAATGGTGATTTATGAACAAAATATAGTTCTATATGCATTATATTTTTTTTCCCTCAATTATTACATACATATATATATATTATTATTGTTTTTTTTTTGGTTGGTTTTACTTCAAGACTGTTGCTCTTTCTTGTCATCTTCAGGATTGGTCGGTAATTCGTTATTATTAATGTTCTTTTCCTTTGTTTCATTCCCAAACAACCGAATTCCCAATTGTGTAGAAAACTTAATTAACTGATCAGTTTCCATCTTTGAAAAATTATCGATGTCAGAATTCAAAGATTCTGAACCATTTTTATTGATGCACATATTTGAAGCTTTAATGGTCATACTAAGATGTTTAACCAAGTTTTCTATATTATTAATTCTATCACTTAAAGAATTAATAAATTGATCATTTTGTTCGCATTTTCGACAAGTATATGTAGAATAAGGCTGCGTGGAACGACGAAATACTACGCAATATCTTCTGATATGAAACCTTCGATTAGAATTTCCATTAGTAACGGTGGTAGACAAACGCTTAATTTGTTTAATTTTTGCGGCCATTTTCGTTTTTGTACGATAAATAAAATAAAGTTAATATGTGTTGTTTCGATGAATAAGTTAATATGTATTGTGTTGATGAATAAAAAAAAACTGTTTTGTTTGAAGTTCCAGAAGGAAAATTTCTGCTCTTATTTATTCGATTTCGTTGAATCTTGTTGAATCTTGTACCACCGATTAGCATTGATCTTATCTAATAATTTGAATTGATTTAAATTTGGAAGGTTAATATAATGTAATCACGGGATTTGCTGTTTATCTCTCGCTTTTGTGTTAGTTTATCAATTACAACCGCATTTATTAATTAATCGGCTCAGTTTTGTTATTTTTCCAAATTTGGAAATTACCTTCAATGTACAAATGGAAATGTTAAAATATGTGGCTATATATATATACATTTAAAGTAAGTGGCAACTTAAAACACATACGGAATATGTTGCTATATTACTGCATTTGCATACATATCCGTAATTATACGTAATAATAATTTTATATGAATGCATATATGCACTAGTCTAATTGTGTATATAAAATCATTTCCAAATGCTTACCAGTAGGCATTTCATCAAATATGTCCTATTATTGATACAACAAATGCTTTTTCTTAATGAGTTTCATATTAATTTTCAATAAAGTTGATAAAACAATTATTTGCTTACAAGCCACGATTTTCGGCCTTTGCTTTTATTTTCTTTGATGCCAGTTTAGCAATGTTTGTAACAAAACTCTAACAAATATATACTATACGTACCACCTTGTGACTGATTATATAATTTACGGAAATGGCAATTTCGTATAATTCTTTTGAGTTCTGCGCTCCTATTGTTTGAGCACTTCCTTATGATACGTGCATGAAATTGCATAATACGAAAATTCTATTGTAGTTTACATAAACTTCCATATAAGTGTTATTTTTTTCTATTAAATAGCTTCCGTATTAAAGTTTCGCTCATCACCGTTTCAAGTAATGCATTTCCTGCTTATTTTATTTCTTGCATAATATCAATAATATCATGAAAGTAACCTCTCAGTAACCGTTTAATACGTGTAATGCTAATATCAGTAATATCAGGAATGGATCTTTCGCATGATACCGATACATCTTGATTCTTTTCAATGAAGTTACGTATGTACAAGAATATTTATGGTAAACAGTACAATTGTCTTGTACTTCAATTTAATATCAAGAAGAAATAAAAATGTACTCTATTTAATCATTCATTTAGTTCAAAGAACAAAGAAGTAAACAGTGTCATTAATTTGTAGCATATACTGTTAATATTATAAATATACTATGAAATAGCATTTTATTAATGATAAATTTCCCTCATTGCCTAAATAGACAGACGGGCGGGTACATACGTACGTACGTACGTACGTAGGTTACTGTCACAGACAAAATTTTTTATCCACCACATTACTTAATTAGCTATGTATGTATCTTTTTTCTTATATCGATTTCGAATAAACTTGGTTTGTACGTATCATTATATTAAGCTTATTTAGTTATTAAATTTTATTTAGCCTTTATTTATCATTATTGGTAACACAAGAATCGATTCAAAGTTGCCGCTCTGTGGCTAAATCACGCCAAAATTGCCACATTGCCGATTTTAATATACAATGCGATAATGCGGCCGGTATTGCCAGTTTTGTAATTTGTCAATTTTAGGTTTATAGACAAAATTTACTACTACGCATTTGAGGAGTATGGCGCGAGAGCACAGTATATTGTAAACCATGAATGAAATCGATAGATTAGGAAGAACACTATCAGAAATTGTATGACATTTACGTATGAATTAAGTTACCGTTAAAGTTTCGAATATAAGCAACGCCACTAAGCCGCTCATTTTGGCTGAGTTTTTTAAGAGGATTTCTTAACATTGGTAACTTTGAAACATTCAATTTCTATTGGCCTATCTTAATAAAAATTATTCTTTATTATATTTTAGTAATTTAAAAGGGTTGCTTGTTTTATTTTTTTAGTATTTTAACATTTTTAAAATTTAAGGTATTGCTTATGTTGGAGGTTGCTTATTTTCGAGACTTTACGGTACTTGGCCATCAAACTTAAGGGACACGATAGATGCTGACTTATGACATCATCTAGTTACGTCTTATATAACAAATCGGTATATAAAATAAAATGCAATTTAGCCGTAGTGACGTAAATAAGTCCTGCATCTAAAAGGAACACGCGAGAATCGCCATAGCCATAATTGCAATCGATGATTCATCAGAGATGGTCATTTTCATGTGATTATGTGCAATCAACTTAAATTTTATGTTGTGATTTCGTCAATTTTTTATTTTGTTGACCTAATTATTTTGTTTATTTAATACCATCTAACTTTAATATTTTTTGATTTTTGTGTTGAAGAAATGCCATTTTTTTTCAATTTGAGTAATATTTACTTTAAACAAATTATAATATTATTCAATTTATATTATTCTTTAATCTGTATTTCAAACAAATTTTTTAGAAAATTTAAAAGTAATTATATTTTTTAAATAAAATTA